AGGCTGGCTGGGGTCAGGAGATGGCCAGGAGGGAGAGCTGGCTGGGGTCGGGAGACGGCCAGGAGGGAGAGAGGAGCGACAGCCAGGGAGAGAGCGCGGCAGGTGTTTATTTTTGTCGGTAGATCTCATTGCGCTCATCATTTGAAAAGTAGACCTGAACACAGACAATTTGGGGCTCCCCCACTGTAAGACGTTCTCTGAGCTGGGAAGCAGACACGGCAAAGACTTTGACATCAGGTGACCTCTGGCAACTTAAGCATCAGGCTCACTATAGTCAGTAAAGCTACAAAGGGGTGATATACAAATATTTCCGAGGATTCATTGTGGCAGAGCCGTGTCGCTTTAAAGCCCAACTCCAAAACATTGTTGTTCTTGCAGGAATTCCATTCTTCTCACTCGTATAGTCCCTGATTTGACGCGTTTCTAGTCCGCTGTTCCCTCCTCTGCCATGAAGAGAATAATGAGACGGAGATGATGAAGAGGGGAATAAAATCTGATATTATGTCATGAATCTATTACCAGGCGCCTGCATGACTCCAACGCTCTCTACGCGGCTTTATCCTTGAATGCTGAATAGCCGCGCTTCACCTTTTCTTCACTTCCCTTCACAGACCTCACACCCCGGCTTATACACAGAATGTCATTGGCAAAACTTTTATAGCGCTGATGTTCCTCGCTGCTTTACAAAGATCATCCGTGTCTTCCCGGCTCCAGAGCTCCTCCACTTCACCTTATCATCAGTCACATTGTTGTTATAATTATATTCTGTAGCATGTTCTTCTGAGCGATGAGATACATTATACATACAGTATATACAGAGTATTACATCGAACATTAACCCTTCGTGTCCTCCCTTCATTGCTGTGTTATATCCCCGCCGCAGTCACAATTCTTCTATTGTTAATGATAATGTAATACGAAGTCATTTCTATACCTCCAGCGTACTGCGCTGAGACCCGCAATGTTTTATTAATGTTCTTTTTTTCTGTACAGAGGAGCTCACACTCTAATGTCCCCCCCCCCCATCCTCCCGCTAGATCACTACACATCAGTCTCTGTACAGAGGAGCTTACACTCTAATGTCCCCTCCCCCCCAGTCACATCAGTCTCTGTACAGAGGAGCTTACACTCTAATGCCCCCTCCCCCACAGTCACATCAGTCTCTGTACAGAGGAGCTTACACTCTAATGTCCACCCACAGTCGCACACTATTATTATACATTTATATAGCTCTGGCATATACCATAGTGTTGTACAGAGAGCCAGTTACATCAACCTCTGTACCAGAGGAGCTTACATTCTTAACATCCTCACCCCAGTCACACACTATAATATTGATTATCAAAAACCATTTTCCGTAGTATGGTCCTTAATGTTTTTATTCTTTCATATCTGTCCGTGTTTTCAGTCCTGGTGGCGGCTTGTTTGGCATTGACAGCATGCCGGATCTTCGCAAGAAGAAGCCGATCCCGTTGGTCAGTGATTTGGTGAGTCCAGTGTATTTTTCTCCATACGTTTAACATGTAATCCTTCATTTCTTTATATCTTTAAAATAAAGATTGAGCACTTCTTCCACCTTCCATTGTTGGTGATTGGGAAAGTTGAGCTAGGAGACATGTAAAGCCGTCCGCACAGAACTTCCATCCGCCATGTATGTATAAATAAAGATTATAGGAGCTGTGGGGAGGAGAAGCCACGGCCCTGGTAAGGTAGCTCTGGGCTGTTAATATGGTTTATCTTTTTTCCCTGACCTATTGTGTCTCTGACTGATACAGAAGAGGTGTTCCCAACTCTTCCTTCATGTCTCGGCTCCTGTAGACACCTCAGATGGCTTGGAATATTTTTTTTTAAATGCTACCCCTTTACCTCAAATCTCAGTTTTTCTGGGGTATTGGGTCAGAGACTCTGTCTTACCGGGGCCACTCTTACCGGGGCCACTACCTTTCTCTACTGATATCTTATCCTAAAATGTCTGCTGGGGCAAAATCGGTTGCATTCATTACAGTGAAAGTGGTCTCTCTGCTGAGGTCTGACGCTCCTGTCATGTCATCAATAGAGCTCGCCAATCAACAGGAAGCAAGAGTTTTGCTTATTGGAGCTTTGAATTGGCAGGGGCGTGTCAGACCATTGCTGAGGGACCACGGTTTGTAGGGATGCACCGATGCCGGTATTTCTGTGTCGAGTACGAGTACCGATATTTTGTTTCGGTACTTGCCGATACCGAGTACCGGAAGTCCCATTCAGGAAGCCAGGCGGCGTGTAATGACTCGCCACCTGGTTTCTTCATTAGCTGGGCAGCGTGTCAAGACTCGCCACCCGGCTTCCCGATTAGCAGGGAAGCCGTCCCAATGCTTCTCCTCACTAGGTGCAGAGAAAGCATGGAGCCTGCTTTGTGGCCAATCAGGAAGCCGGGCACTGTGTAATGACGTAGCACCCGGCTTCCTGATTGGCCGTGAAGCCGGCTCCATGTTCCCTCGTCATGAGGTGATGAAGGAGCATGAAGCCGGCTTCCCGACAAATCAGTCATTACTCGGCGCCTGGCTTCCTGATTGGCTAGCTTCCAACAAATCAGGAAGCCGGGCAGTGCGTCATTACACGCTGCTCGGCTTCCTGATTGGCCCGGGATGCCGTGCTCTCGCGTCACAAGTTCCCAGCCAATCAAGAAGCCGGGCAGCGTGTAATGACCTGCAGCACAGGCTTCCTGATACCGGAAGTATGGGGCTAGGCATCGGAGCATTTGGGCGAGTATGAGTACTCGCCCAAATACTCAGCAACGATACTAGTATCGGTGCATCCCTACTGAAAGCCAGGGTGCTTCTCTGCAGCATGCTGACGGGACAGGCTTTGGTAAGCAGAGCTATTTGTATAAGGAGTTTAGTATACAGAATACAAACATACAGCTGCTCCATGAATGTTGTTCACCAGATGAGGACTAGGAACCTTCTGGCTAATACATTTGTTGAGAGGTCAACCAACCCTCTTCCGAATTGTAATATTCGGTAAACCAGTCTTTTTGGTGGTAAAAAGCAAACCCCATAGCCAGTTTTTTCTTAGGTTTTGGACCATTTTAGGTTTTTATTGTGTCCTTACTGGGGAGATTCATCTCCACTTCCTGAGTGATGACTGAAATTGATGAAAAAATCTCTCAATGCAAACAGAACTTCTAACTCTTCTCCGATCTTTCAAAAAAACCCGTAAGTTTGGGTTGAAGTTTTGGGAATTTTACTGAATTATATGTGAAACTCTCTTGGTAAGCCTCTTACAGGTAATGTGTGGACCATTTTTTTTTTTAAATTATCTTTTTATCATTTAAAATCCCTTGAGATATTTTTGGTAACCAACCTCCTGAGCTGTTTCTTGTTGAATTAACCTATTGCAATTCTTTTATATGCCGACCCTCCTATTAACAGGCAATGGTAAGTGGCTGCACCCCACCTGTAGCAGCAACAATCAGATTCCATGATTTAGTAGTTTACTTCTCGGCTCCTCCCCTCCAAAAAAAAAATGTTTTTTTTTTTTTACCCTATTCTACATCACTGATTTAATGGACTGTAAAGTGTTTACTGCTTTTTTGCATCCTTCCGATTAGAGAGCTCATGTTGGTTTGGTGATGAGTCTGGTATAGCACAGATCAACTTGAGAAAGCAACCTGGTCAGTTCTGAGTGGGGTTGAAAGGATGAACGTCCTGTTGAGAGATACAGATCAGTTGTTGGCTGTCTGATCCTGCTGGTGGTATTTGTTCTTCACGAGGTTGCTTTAGTTCTAACCTGCTGGCCTTAGTTCCACCTTCTGCCTCAGCCAAGGAATGCACACTTCGTATATAGCATTTGTGCAGATGGTGGAATGTTGAAGAGTTGGATATCACAACGATGTTCTGAGGTGTTGAAGGACACTTGAGCCTCTCATACCCAACTCCCCTACAGCTTTGTTTCCTAGCTCTGCAATGCTACAGATGTGCACAGGTCTAGTATAGGCCTTAAAGGTGCCTTAATACTAAAACCTTCACCATTGTAATTCCCAAGTAAAGTGTCCACATCCACCTCCCCCTACTTCATGGAATTGCAGAACGTGTGCAGTTTTCAGGAGTGGTCCTCCATGATGAAATCAGTAGGGAAGGTGGACAGTTTGTGAATACTTTCCTCAGTGCCACCAATCTACATGTTCATCCCTTTCTAAATTTTTTGTCCGAGACTTTTGAGGTTTGTCAGCCTGCTTTTCAATCCACTACCACTTCATGTTGTTCCCAAAAAGTGTTAACTGATTAAGATGTTTGAGGATGGAGGTCCAGAACTGGAAGTTTAGTTGTGTCAGGGCAAGACTGGAAGCCCAACTCTCTCACCTAGCCCATTCTGCAAATGCTGTTTCCTGCCTTGCCTGAAGCTGTTGTATTCCGGTTTTGGTTCAGGGTATGAACAGGTCCTGCAGAAGCATGATCACAAGTCTCTATGGGGAAATGAGTAACTCACTGTTGGGCCTCGTTGTTGAATGCATCGGGTTGATTAAAAACACTGTATGGCTGCGTTCGGTGCCAAAATTGTTGGTAATCCAACATTTTGTGTGCAGATGCTTCTGAAAGCTTAATCATGGAGAGACATGTAGGTCACACAAGAAGTATTTACTGGTATTTGACTCGGGTCAGGACCAAAGTCGATCATGATCAGTTGCTTGCCTGAATTGTTCCCTTTCAAGCACATTTTGGTAACCACCTGCAGTTAGCCATCCTTGAACCCAGATAGGTGTGGGCAGCTTTTTATGTTGGCTGGTAACATTGCAGTATCTTCTATAGGTTCATTAGACTCAGTGATGGGGTACTGAATGTGGATGACTCCCACATTCAGTCACAATGTTTCCCTTTTTTTTTTTAGTAGCACCCGCTTGCCTCACCTGCACATGTATACCAGGGTGTCCGCCGATGTATTTCTACCAACACTCGTAGGGTAATGACCCTTCACCGGCCATCCCTGGTCATATATGACAATTTAAGTTTGCCCTTATGTAGCATTCTGCATAGTTATCTACCTTGGCAGTTTTTGTTGGAAATATTATTTTGGCCTTCTATATATATTAATTTATTGATTTAGCCTCACCATATACAAACCCAACGCTAAGGATTCCCCACGTGATCTGCAGGAGATGACATTTGACCATTGCCAGGCGTTTAGTCAACCCAACACTGAGATTTCAGTTTTATACGCTGGTTTTTGAATGCCCCCTTCCGGCTCCTTGTATTCCTTCGGGACTCCACCAGCTCTGCCATCATAATCCTTTTACAATAAATCCGTTATTCATTATTTCATTTTCAGGAGCGCACACTTATTAACGTAGCGGGAAATTAATACGGGAAATGATTATAATAAGTTGTAATAGATTTGTTCCCTCAAGTTCTCTCGGTTTTGAATAATTCATTAATCACGGTCTCCAAAGGTCAAGGAAAGCTCAATAAATAATTAAAAAGGAAAACTCGGCGGCGGTTCCTAGAGCGTCACCCTTGATTAAATGGATCAAAGATCCCAACCAGAATTATAAAGAACATATCACTCTAGAGCTGGAGGTGAGATACATTCCAGAAGGCCCATAACAGGCCAGCAAGGTCTACGGCAAGCATAATTGGAACGACATCTTTACAGGTTGTCCCAGCTACTGAACCAGCAAAGCAAGATGGGGGATTCCATTTAGAATTGTCACATTCTGGGACAATGACTCCTTAGCAATAAAAGCAAAACGGGAACAGGGGAACCATTCAGAATGGCAATGCAGATGGGTAGAGGTTTGAAGTCATCAAGAGGTCCAGGAAGTTTGTGATGTTTCCTTCCATGATTACGCCCTAAGTTATCATGGAATAACCCTTTAATTCTCCAATTCCAGTGGAGCTTCCATTTTTAATATTAAGATAAGTCTCCCTAAGTGCACTCTAGTGATATCCTTCATGATGCGTTTTAAAGTGTACCTGTCATGTCCACCAGGGTGAAAGCCCTGACATTGCTATGGAAGTAGACACCTTGCAGTTCCTATGCTTGTCTTCAGATCAGTTCCTTGTGCCCTGGGGAGGATCCTGGGTTCTAGGTCCAGACTGCACACAGCCTAAATTTTTAGCTTAAAATCAGCCCTGCCCCTTCTGATACTAAACCCCGCAACCTGTCAGTTGCCAAATATTAAATGCTTTTCTGGCCACTAAGACTCTGATACATGGCACAAGCAGCATGCTTTGGTGAGGTTGACCAATTTATGATCGGTTATGGTGCCTATTTTTTGTTTTAGCCGTCCTCTGCAGATCACAATCTGAGATTCCCTTTGCTTTTTATTTGCCGTTATCATTTAGCTGTGGCTGTTTTTTGCCTTTTGAAGTATCTAGCTAGGAAGCCTTTTAATAACGTATGGGAAAGTAATTGTATCAACTTTGTATTCTCTTCGCAGTCCCTGGTCCAGTCCCGCAAGGTCGGCATCACCTCCTCGATGGCCACTCGCACTTCCCTCAAGGACGAAGACCTGGTGAGCTCCATTTCCAGAGCACATTATCTTCTCTGTGTATACATGTTGCACATACTGTACATAATGTCGTATACTGTATAACCTTGGTACTCAACCTGGTGGGTCGTGACCCAAGTGTGGGTCGCGTCCCCATTTTCAGTGGGTCGCCGCATGCCTTCCACTTTCCTAGGTGAGAGGCTCCTCGGCCTTCCCATGGCGCAGCAATATCAGTTCTCGCGCTGAGCAGCCATTCAGGATATGCTGCCTGGCGCCGAGTGTCAGCTTGAGGTAGGGTGGGCTGGAGCTATGGTTACGAGGGAGCTCCATCCATACTTGCATTGCTTACAGCTCCCTCACGTGCCCTGTAGAGTGACATCACATTCTGGCTTCCGGCACCTCTACAGGCTGCGCAAGGGAGTTCTACAAGCAATGTATGGATGGAGCTCCGTCACCGCACAGCAGCCCAGCACTGGACCCCATCCACTCTCATAAGGTAGGGAGACTGGGTGGATCCTAAAAAGAAAAAAAAAATTAAAGAATTCTTTGGCGTGTGTGTGAGCGATTGTGTCTGTGGTTGTGTGTCAGTCAGTATTTTTTAGGGGCCGTTCACACTAGTACAGTGTGTTAATCGAACAGTCCTGTGCAATCATCGTACTGTACCACGCCAGCGCACTTACTACGCGTTCTGGTGGGGAAGGTGTGCTACGTTGCCATAAATTTGAATGGCACCCCAAACGCACCTCCCGCCCACAGATAAAACCCCCGCACCAGAACGCACGGTACCGCAATGCCGTGCGTTCCAGTGCAGTGCGACTTGGGTCGCCACTTAATGTCCAAGGACAAATGAGGTTGCACAGGTTGGGAACCGCTGCTGTATAATATTCTATTACATGTTGTTGGATAGTTATATCTCCAGTCAGGGAGCAATCAGTTTTTTGCTTTTTTAATAGATAGATTAAAACTGAACTCCATAAGAGGCACACATGAATGTATCTCGGCATTCATTAATATAGCATTAGCTTTTTACAAGCAGTGCAAGTACCTTAATCTGACCTCTTGTAGTCCCTGTACAGTAGAGCTTAGATTGGGAGAGGTACAAGCAGCCAGTCCGATGTACTGCAGTGCAAGGAGCATGCTGATAGAAGGAGAAAGCAAAGCAGCAGAGATGAGCTTGTGGGTCTACTGCATCTCCTTTCACTGTCCATGTCCTGCTGTGTGGCAGAGCTGAGTAAGTCTCAGGACTGAATGGACACATGTACAGGTTAAACCGCTCACCTATATGTATTTAGTGGTTTGCCACTCTTTCACTGGCTCAGTGTTTACGGAGCAGACCTGTACTGAACAGAGGAATCCCTTACCTGAAACCAGCCAATGTTCGTATGAATTATAGCTGGACAATTATAGCTGCGGTCAGTCCTATGTTATGTAATGTATTGTTATAACACCCCTCCATGGGGTTTTTCATGTGTTTCAGAAGTCACATGTGTACAGGAAAACCCTGCAAGCCTTAATCTACCCCATTTCCTGCACGACGCCCCACAACTTCGAGATCTGGACCGCCACCACCCCCACCTATTGCTATGAGTGCGAGGGTCTGCTGTGGGGGATTGCGCGGCAGGGGATGCGCTGCAGCGAGTGCGGGGTCAAATGTCACGAGAAGTGCCAAGACTTGCTGAATGCCGACTGCCTGCAGAGTAAGTTGTTTTGGGGAAAAAATTACAATCATTTTTAAACTATGCTTTACCGGTAATCCTCCTGAATGTGAATTCCTATCGTCCCCTGCACACCATCTCTTCAAGTACCGATAGAGAAGATTGAGATCAAGAGTGCGCATAAATATAATCTGAGGTCTCTCTGAGGTTTATATACAGACACCTGGGGGGGGTCTGTGAGGTAATTAGGCACACAGAGTTCAGGTATGATTCAGGAAGTTATAATATAGAATTTGCAACCTCTCATATCTGCATCTGAAGCCGTGTCCTGTTTCATGCACTGTACATAGCAAACACTGATCAGGCATTTTACAGTAGGTAAAGTTTAAGCCCAACGTCAGACATCTTTCTTAATTTTAATATAATTTAAAATTATTAGAAATAGATTTTTATTGATATCTATATTGTCCCTGGAGAGATTTCCCCTCACTTCCTGTTCTGGCGGTAGCTGTTAAATATACAGAAAGACCAAATAGGGGGGGGGGGGGAAAGTCTGACAGAAGTCTTCTACACTACGGATAACAGTACTTAGTTCAAGCGAGAGATATAAAGTAACATTGTTCAGACATCAGATCGAGAGGTACAAAGTAACAGTGTTTATTTTTCAATTTCCTCTGTTTCATCAACCTGCAGCTCGCAGAGTTGAGCGTTGATCTGTACATGTATCTCTCTATCTCCCTCTGATCAATGTTTATAAACAGTGTTACATTGTATCTCTCTATCTCCCTCTGATCAATGTTTATAAACAATGTTACTTTGTATCTCTCTATCTCCCTCTGATCAATGTTTATAAACAATGTTACTTTGTATCTCTCTATCTCCCTCTGATCAATGTTTATAAACAATGTTACTTTGTATCTCTCTATCTCCCTCTGATCAATGTTTATACACAATGTTACTTTGTATCTCTCTATGCCCCTCTGATCAATGTTTATAAACAATGTTACTTTGTATCTCTCTATCTCCCTCTGATCAATGTTTATACACAATGTTACTTTGTATCTCTCTATCCCCCTCTGATCAATGTTTATAAACAATGTTACTTTGTATCTCTCTCTCCCTCTGATCAATGTTTATAAACAATGTGCCAGACTGTCCATTTTTTTGACAGCAGCTTCTACAGCTTCTCTATTTACGCAGAAACTCCCGGCTGTCATTCTAACAGTTGGAAATTTCCGGTGAAGCTTAGGGGCAGCCGAGGGCAGTAGGACAGGACGTACTGCACATCCATTGTACTTCAATTGTGTTTTTTTGGAGCCTGTATAGTACGCCGTGTGTCCTGGTTAGAAATAAATGGTACTTTTTAAATGAAATTATTTCCAGCTCAGAACATGGTGTCACACACTTTAGGGTAAGGCACTGGCCACATGAATAGAGAAAAAAATAAGACATTGCAGCAGACAGCATCTGTTATAACTGATTGGAATGTTCTTTCCTGGAGGCCGTGCTTTAAGGGTCAGACTCTCATTTTGCCACGCGGACCCTTAGGCTGCAGACAGTGGCCCACCAGTGTACCAGGAGATACTTCGCCACTGTTGCCGGCTCTCTTGAGAGCACATAATGGCTGCTTCTTACATACTGATGATAATTGCATCATCATTGCAACTTATAGAGCAGCTTCTGTCTGTCAGCCCTTCTCCCTATTAGAAGATTTAGAGCAGAGAAATCTGAAAAGCACAGAGAACAGATTTATTTAATTATACTTTAAATTAAATTTTATATCTGGTTGTTCTTGGCGACCGGTCCTCTTTCCCTCCAGCATCCTTTGCTCCAGTTAGAGATACGTATGCTGCATGGCTGACCTCTCCATCTGAAATACTCATTCCCTGGCTGTCATGCTGATCCAACCTGACATTCCTGACCTGTGTGCTTGTTCTGGTCACAAAGTATGGAAGCCATAGGCAGCCAGGCATCAAGAATTCTCAGGAGGAGGAGATCAGCAAAGCCATCCTTGGTAGGTGTACTTTCACATGTATGCTTCTCCTGGTGACAACAGAATGCTTGTCTTGCCCCCCGGGGTCTCAAGGGTTGTCGCACATAACATTGCTGAGGCTCGTCAGATGTCCTCCTGGTGCCATTCCACATCCACACGTGCAGTATAAGTCACAGCTTTGACTCCAGGCTGTGCTTGTCTCTCAAACTGTGTCTTATGAAGGCTTTTGCACATCAAATCATCACCTGGAAGGATTGCCGGCTCAGTGTCTTCCAGGCGCTGTCTGCCACCTACCAGCCGCTGGTTATGTCTGGGCGTACAGAGTATCATTTCCTCTGTGCTCTGCCTCCACCCTCAGAGCTAATCACAGCTCTCTTCTCCTCGGGCCAACTATGTGTACACATAACATCATCCGCCAAACTCAATTTATTTAAAGCTTAACCCCGGGATCTGCAAACATTGTCCTCATACAAGAGTCATGTGTATCATTCCTGAATCTTGGTGAGCTTTGTGTATTTCTTCCAGATCTAGACAGTAATCCTGTGTGAGACTTGAAGCTTCCTGTAATAAAGTCACTGCTGCTCTGTCTCCTTGTGCAGGGTGACTGGTCTTGTCTCCGCCCCCTCCTGTAATAAAGACCGCTCACTGCTGCTCTCTCTCTCTCCTTGTGCAGGGTGACTGGTCTTGTCTCCGCCCCCTCCTGTAATAAAGACCGCTCACTGCTGCTCTCTCTCTCTCCTTGTGCAGGGTGACTGGTCTTGTCTCCGCCCCCTCCTGTAATAAAGACCGCTCACTGCTGCTCTCTCTCTCTCCTTGTGCAGGGTGACTGGTCTTGTCTCCGCCCCCTCCTGTAATAATGACCGATCACTGCTTCTTGCTCTCCTTGAGCAGGGTGACTGGTCTTCTCTTCGCCCCTTCTTGTAGTGGGTGGGGCCTGCTGGGTCCTTTCCACACCTCTGCTCAGCTATGTACAGCCCAGTGAGGATATCATTACTACTTTGCAAGGAAATATCTGGGTTTGGTGCACACAAAATAGATTTATATAATTTGTAGGGATGCACCGATACCGGTTTTTCGGTATTGAGTACGGGTACTGATATTTATCTTTCGGTACACGCCAATACCGAGTACTGATACCGGTACTTCCGCTAGCATGGAGCCGGATTCCCGGGCAATCATGAAGCCGGGCGGCAGGTAAGCGGAAGCTTGGGCGTCATTGGACCTTCCAACGGGACAGTGATCCCAAGCATACCTCAGATTCCACCAAGGCTTGGTTGCAGAAGTCCTGGAAGATTCTACAGTGGTCGTTCTTACTTGCAACGCTCTTAAAGTGATAAAACATGGGGGATGTGCATGGATTGCAGAGATGTATTGATTGATTGTTTGTTTTTTTCCCTACAATTTAAAGGAACAGCAACACGCCAAAAACCTAACAGCATTCAAAGCATCTATAGACCTTCCAGTGTATGGTTTCACCAAATCCAACTATGGCAATATAACATCCCCTGATGACTCCTATAACAGGAGACCAGACCCCCATCTATAATCATGACCTTATCTACCCATTATACACAGAGGGAGGGATTTATCAAAACTGGAGAAGCTGTGCATGGCAACCAATCAGCTTCTCTCTTCAGTTTGTTCAGTTAAGCTTTGAAAATGGAAGAGAGAAGCTGATTGGTTGCCATGCACATCTGCTCCAGATTGCCATGCACTGTCTGCACCAGTTTTGATAAATTCCCCCCAGTGCAGTTTGGTTTTCTGGTCAGCACCCCTTCCCCTGGTGTCCCCCGTCCATTGGTTGCAGTGGACATGCAGAGGCCCCATGACTGTGGGCATCCCACCAGCTGACATGACCAGAGCCCATGTGACATGACCTGTGCTTTCTGTCTTGACTGCAGGAGCGGCAGAGAAGAGCTCAAAGCATGGGGCGGAGGACCGCACGCAGAACATCATCATGGCCATGAAGGATCGCATGAAGATCCGGGAGAGGAACAAGCCAGAGATATTCGACCTGATCCGGGACGTGTTCACCGTCACCAAAGTGATCCACGCCCAGCAGATGAAGACTGTGAAGCAGAGCGTGCTGGACGGCACCTCAAAGTGGTCAGCCAAGATCACCATCACCGGTGAGTTTACTACTGGGCGGAGCTTATCGGTAAAGGTCAATCTCCGCCCAAAAGCTGTGCAGGTGTTGGTCAATAGAGATTGGAAGGATGAGAACCTCTGCTGCATGCTTATTGCTACTAGAAGGATCTGAGATTGAAGTGCCACACAAGTGCCACGATACAAATTTATTCCAGAATATGATCGGGTAGAAGATTATAACAGAACAA